AGCAGGAAAGATCAGCTAGTGGACTGTCATTTTAAACAGAAGTAAGTCACACTATTAGCTTTAATTAGGGTGGTGGTGATAGGAATAGAGAGACTTGGACAGTTTCAAGAGCTGTTAAGGGAGGAGAATTCATTAAATTTGTGAAAGGGTAGACCTGTGAATGGTACAGAAAAATCACAGTGATCCCACTAGCTTTTAGGTTTCCGGATTATGCAGTTTGAGGGGCGAAAGGAAAGATAAAGAATAAAGGAGATTTAGGGACATAAAGAGGTTTCTTTTAAGTGTTCAGGCAAACGTTCAGTTAAAGTTGTATATCAGCCAATTAGATATATACTTTAAAGGAGAGATATGAGCTAAAGATACATATTTGGGAGTCACTGAAAAATAAATACTATTTGAATAGAAAGAAATGATGATATCCAGAGAAGAAAAACAAGGGAAAGACTATGGAATATATCAACATTAAATGAAAAGTTAGTTTTAAAAAAATAGCCAAAAAAATGTTTAAGAGGTAATCATCAGATAGCTACATCCCATAAGCCAAGGGAAGAAAAATTCCATGATGGATTAAAAGGTTAACAGGGTTTACTTCGATAGAGAGTTTGAGTAAGAAAAATTATTTAAGTATTCATATGTGTGTTTATAGGAGAAAGCTTTTCTCAAAGATGGAAAACTGGATTATTCAAGGGTTATAATAAAGACTCAGCAAATAGAGAAACTGAAGATGTGGATTTGTGGTTGAATAGAAACAGGTTTTCTTAGTACTAAGACAATGAAGATACTGAGAACAAAGAGAGATTAGTCTTAACTAGCTAAAGCCCAGCCTCTTCCACCAAGGCAGATGGAATAAAAGGATTATGGGCACAAATACACTTGAGAAATATTATTTTGACTCAAGTAGAAGGCAAGTCATTTACTGTGAATGATGGGGAATGGTTTAAGTGACCCATAAAACCTTGAAATAATTGTTGAAAGAAATTGAGGAGAAAATTTACTGGAAATGCATGGAAAGCATCTAGAGAAGTACTGATGATGCTGCTAAAATTTGTTACTTAAGAAATTGGGTAATGACTGGCTATGACAATGCCTAAAATATGGTCATGCCAGTGGGTGGCTGAATTGAGATGAGGAAAATTAAAGCTGTTGGTGATAGCCGACAGCCCACATGAGTGCTGAGATTACTAAAAATAAAGGTACAACTTGTGTGGGAAAAACTAAACCTAGCATGAAAGCCTTCCATAAAAAAGGTATCAAATGGGCCAGCCCATGTCTGTGATTAAGACAGACAGATCTCACATGGCCAACTGAGATGTGAGTGCTGGGCCTGGCAGCTTGAAAAACATGTTGGGTGCACATGCACACATGTCTGAAATCCTCCCCCCCCCCAAGGAAAAAAAAAAGAAGAAGAAATGGAAAAGAAAGGATTGTGACATGATCGCACTCCATGTGGAGGTACTTTCTCCTCCTCTGTCTCTGTTTCTCTCTGGTGAGTGCACACACTCTTTGGCAAATTAAAAAAAAAAAAAACACAAAGTAATATAATAAAATGGTGAGTGATAAATGACCACTAGACATGGACCACAGGGATGAGATATATATTACATAGAGAATGGTACCTTTGGAATTGATCCTTTGAAGTGAGGAAACAAGCAATTCTAAAGGAGTGAGGGTACAAAAGAAGGACCAGCCGTCATGATGCTCTTAGGGTACAAGTGGTTTCCATTTATGAATAGAATGAATACAGAGGACACAGGATTTGCTCTGAAAGGAGCATTTCAGAGTGCACAGTGAAAATATGGGAAGGTACAAAGCAGTGGAAGGGAGTTCAGGAGAGCACAGAAACAAAGATATATATAAAAAAAAGGCTAGAGAAATAGAAGTACCTATATTCTGGGTGGTAAACACAGAGAATGGTGGTAGGAGAAAAGTAAGAATGAATTGGTCTGAAGAATTCAATCAGACCTTGGTAAAAACTTGATTATAAACCTAAGCAAGCATAGGTCCCAAAAAGCACCCAAGACCTACTGAACATGAGAGCATGCTCAGAAAGTTTTCAAAGGAACCTTGTACAGGCTCTGGGTTCTCAGATACCTTATTACATAATCTTGTGGCAAGAGGAGGCTCTTTTGTTGTTTTATTGCCAATTTACACCACCATGTGCTGACTTCAAAAATCTGAATAGCCAGAATCTGTTCATTCAACTAAAAATTCTGAATCACGGTGACATTAACAGAATGAGAAAGAGAACAGCTAGGAGTCTGCTAACGTTTCAGACTGTCTTAGAATATTGATTTCCAAGAATATAGATTCTCAAACCTTTATGGGCATATGAATCACCCATGAAAGTTGTTGAAATGCAGAAAGATTTACCAGAGATGCAGAAAGACAGGGAGAGAGAGAGAGAAAGAGAAAGCTTCCCTATTTCTCCATCCTGTCCACTCATGTCCATGCTATTGGCCTGTTTTCAAGCTGCCAGGGCCAGGATCCAGACTGGTAAGCCATATGAGATCTGGATCCCTTTTTAACACTAAGCCACAGGGCCAGCCCAAGATTCTATGTTTCTAACAAGCTCCCAGGTAACACCAATATTAGAGGAGAAAGGTTCCATGGAACCCAAGTAAGTGCATTTTGTTAATTATACAGATAAAACACGTAATTAATAGAGAAGGGAAAATATATGGAAAGGTTCATAAGTTTCACTTTTTAAAATAGAGTAAAACTGAGCTGGTAAGGGCCTAGGATACTCGAATTGGCTAAAAGCACTTGAAAGGAATAAAAGAATGAAGGAATCAAGTGCAAGCAAAACAAGTTGGTAATAGTTAGCCATTTTAAATGGATGCCTACAAATGAATTAATACCACTTAAGTTCACGAGACAGGCTTCCCATGAGTTCAAAATAACTTACATAAACTGACAGGTGAAGAAGTAAGAAAATTAATGTATGCCTAAACTGTATATCTATCATCATTACTATGTATTTCTCTCAAGGATTTTTAATACATACACATTATATTTAGCCTGAAGGAAATGTCTAGGTAAATCATTTCATGTCTTCTTTTAGTAGGCAATTAAGAATGATGTTGTTATTTCAGAAAATGAGAGCTCAAGTTGAGTAAGGTGATGCACGAGGCACCAGAAAACCACTTATACAATACTGTACATTTTTTTTAGCACTTTCAGTCTGTTATGCTGACGCTATTGATTAAATGCAAATTGCTTCTAGGTAACCATATGATAACAGGGAAATTTTGAATTTATATTCCTGAAATGCTGGAACTCGATTTTCCTGCTTGATTAAAGTTGTTTTAAGATACAGAAATAGGATGACAGATGTGTGAATCAGATCAATAATAATAATAAAAAAAAACTTTAATTAGCTAATAAAATGTCCAAGGCAGTTCATACTTTCAGTGGTCAAATAATGTCACATGGACTTTGAAACTTACTTAGAATATATCTTTCCTATGTAATTTTCTATCCATAGAATTCTCCTCAAAAATCATAACAAGGAATAAACCTTCAAACATACTTTGAGAAAACATGTTTTGCTAATTCTCTACTTTCTTACACATTATCCTTCATTTTAATTTTAAAATTAAAACATTTACAATATAATGTTTCCCATTTCTTGAAGCTATTTAGAATAGTCTATTACAATGCTAACAGTGTAGCCTATAAAACTAACAGGAAATTTAAAATAACTTTCCAATTTATAAATGTAATTTATAAATTTGTAATTTACAAATAGCACAATAAAGAGCTATTGACAAAATTATCCCCCCTCCTCCAGCAGCCTAATAAATGGATCAACTTCTCCCAGAAGATCATTTTGTTGTCGTTCCTCAGAAGTCCCAACCTTGGTGCAACATTAGCTCGTATCTGAAATAGTGTGTATTCATAAAAATATAATTGATTTTGTAAATCATGAATCGAGTGCTGAAAAGATACAGCCAAACTCATGTGCATTTCTATGTGATATTCCTATAGCTAAAGTTATTTGACATTCATACTATTTGTTTCTTTAGCCTGCCCACTGTAAAATATTTACTCTGCCTCTTAGAAATTCTCTTACAAACTCTTGCCAATTATATAACAAAAGTGGATGTTTTATAATCATTGAAGTTGAAAAATCAAAGCCCTGGTAATTTCCCTAAAGATGAAGCAGCTTTTATTAAATTAATAAAAATTCTTATGCGAAGGTCAAAACTATAATGTCTCAGAAGGGAATGAAAGGAACAAACCATCTGTTATCATAAGTAAATATTGAGAGAGGTTGGACATCTTTTAGTTAAGGTAATATAATACAGTTGTCCCTTGGCATCTGTGGGGGATTGGTTCCCAGTTCAAGTGCAGTATTGAACATAAATACCTAGACATTTAAGTTGGATATAACTTATAACATGTATTAATAAGTATAGAGAGTAACTTTTTTGATGATAGTGACAAAATAAGACCGGTCGCAAGCATAGTATTGCTAAGGGCCTATTCTATTATTTCATTACATTTTATTCTAATGTTTCCTATTCTCTATCTTATTCTATTCTACTCTATTCTATTCTGCAACCTTGCTAAGGCCCAGCCTTGAGGTAACAGAACAATACATGAGGGAAATCAATATGAGTTCCTGTTTCATACAAAATTGTTAATTTATTGTTAATTAATGCCCAAGTTAAATAAGGCTTCTGAAAAGCAGCCCTGGTCAGTCACAGAAGAATCTGGAAAGATTTTCCAGGCTAAACTTTGATTTTGCTTACTATCTAAAATATGCTTTAAGATATATATATATATATATATATATATATATATATATATATATACACACACACACATACACAATACACACACACACACACATATATATATATATATAAATCATCTTAAACAGCATTATATCACATTGCTTTAATTCTATCAACTGTAATAGAATCAGGATAACAAAGCACATAGATTACAAGCAGAACAAAATATGAAAATATGTTAAAGACTAATGTATAACCTACATTGACTTTTTCTTTAAGGTCTGAAAAATTGCCCTCTTTGCGATAGATTGCAAATTCAGGACTCTGCAATACAGCTTCAGAGCGAGTAATCCAACTGTGAAGTTCAGTTATATCGACATCCAACCTAAGACAGAAAAGAATAAAGGTCATTATTTCTTGATTTTCTCTTTTTTTCCATCTGAAGAAGACAATTTATCCATATTTATCCTTCTTTTCCCAATCTAAGACTCCTACCTGATGTCCCTATTACCATTAATAGCACCACTATTTCCCTATTCGGGTAGCCTTATAATTTGGAGTCAGCTTTGTTCTAGAATCCTATGATCATGGAGGTCATTGTATTCCTCTCAATGTAACAATCACCTTTACAGTATTGCCAAAAAGCTATTACTCAGCTTCTGCTTGAATGTTTGCACTATTTAAAAAACCTCTGTTTCCCAAGACAATTCTCTTTGTTTTTGGAATATATTTATAAGAAATTCAAAATTCCTGGTGGTGGTCTCCAATGGACTCCCCTGATATTCACACCCTTGTATAGTCTCTCACCATACTGACTCTAGGGTTAGCCATGAGATCAACTTTGGCACATGGTATATTAGTAAGAGTAATGCAAGTAAGGACTTGATAAGTGCTTGTATGTTGGAGCTTATCCTCTTAGAACACACATCCTGAGAAGGCAACTGTTATTTATGTAAAAGGTCCCATGACCTTGAAGTTTCCATGCTTTAAGAAAGCTTCAACTACCCAGGTAGAAAGGCCATGTGGAGAAGCATGAAGCACCAGGCATGGGAATAAAGCCTTCTTTGACCCTCTGACCCACCTCAACACAATGGTATACAGCTAAATAAATGCCCCAGCTGATAGCACATGGAGCCAAAGAACTGTTCAAAGCATTCTTCCCACATTTGCAGGACTGTGAGAAATGATAAATAACTTCTATTTTAAGCCAGCAAATTTTGGGGTGGGTTGTTGTGCTACAATAAATATTTGATCATCTACCCAGCTATTTCCAAACTTTCTCTTTTTCTTTTTTTTTTCAGAGATTCTTTGGAGCTACTGAGAGCAAACTGTTCACTCTGATTACATGACTACGGTCTAGAATAACCAAATCAAACTATGGAATCAATCTATTAGTTCATGGATGAATGGACAGAGAAAAGTTGGTATAGACACACAATGGAGCCCTATTCCACCTCAATTTTCTTTTTAAGAGGCTTTTGCCTTAGGGAATGTGTGCTTGCTGGAGAGAGAGTCAAAGACAATGAGAGGAAAAGTGAGAAATCACTCCCCCCTCCCAGAGCGGATAGCGGTGAGAAAATTCTTTCTCCTCCATTCTCCTCCTGGAATCTTAGGCATGCATGCACCTATGCCCGGCATTAAGTTTTAAGCCACCAGGTCTGGGAATCAAACAGTGGTCAGCCATGTGGAGTACAGCAACATAACCCCTATGCCAGCTACTGGTCCTTCAACCTTAATTTTTAAAAAGGAGAGTTCTTCCTTTGCAACAACATGGATGAATTTGGAGGAAAGTAGATTAAGTGAAATAAGGTAAGAACAGAAAGATGAATACTCCATAATCTTATTTATATGTGAAATTTAAAATAGTCAAATTCACAGAAACACAGAGTAGAATGGTGGTTACCATGGGCTGCTAGTGGATGAGGTGGCAGGAGGATTGAGGAAATATAAGTCAAAGAACATAAAATTTCAGTTAGTAGAAGTACATTCAGGAAACCTCTTATTATATACGTGATGGCTACAGATAATGACAATGTACTGCATACCTGACAAATCCTTAAGAAAGTAGTTTTAAGTGTTTCCACCACACACACACACAGATAAAATGATACATGAGGTAATCCTATGTTAAGAATCATGATTTAGTCATCCACAATCTAAACATATCAAAAAAACATGCTGCACACTACAAGTATATTTATTTTTTTGTCAAATAAAATGAACAAATTTTTTTAAGTTTAAAAGAGCATAGATTTTAGAGAAGTCATGGATTGGTTCTAACAGTGGGGGGGATATCTATAAATTACTTGAAATTCCAAGCATGATTCTAAATATGTATGCATTTTCATTGAAAAAAAGGATCCCTAGATTGTATCTACATTAATAATAGAATAAACATCTGTAAAGAGAAGTTAGAGCTCATCGAACCCAATAGTTTATTAAACAAAAGAAATCAAATACAATCAAATGGCTCCAGAAAACTAAATGACTAACTCAATTTCCATAGGAAGTTTATGGAGAAGAACAAAAATATAAAAATCACATTACCCAGAAAGGAACTTACTATAACTTCATTTCCATTGCAGCCCTCAACTACTGGAAATATGTTCTTTAAATCCACTAGAAGATGTATCACAGTCAACCAACTCTACTCCTGGTATTTCAGTAAAGGGACTTCAAAATGTTCATGGAGTTTATTTTGGTGTAAACATTTTGAAATCTGAGCATAGATTTTTTTCATAATACATATTTTCTGTGAACTGCACATGTGGAACTTGATTCCTGTTTGTGTATTACCTTTTATTGACTGCATTGTGTTCTTTACTTTACATACCTATTTTGCTTCCTGGGATTATTTTCCAAATTAAGTACTTGCATTTAATCTTTGTTTCTAGGTATCCACTTGTGGTTCCCCCAAACTAAGGCAATGATCAACAGCTTCAGATGAACCCAAGAACCTTTCACACATTTTTTTTTTAACTTGAGCTCTAACTCTCAGCAAGACCTACCTAAAACTTTTCCAAATGTTTCAAAATTGTGACTCACTCTCTTCCTCCACCTCTATTAGGAGATGACTTCATTTCCTCCCTTACAGACGTAAGTACAATTGTCTGACTAGAATTTCTTCCACTTCCTCTGGCTAAACATTTTGTTTTGCATGCGCAGTTATCCTTCTCATTCCCTTCTCTGATACTTTAGTGAATGATCCCTTTTGTTTTTAGTGCCAATCCCCTTATGTACAGTTTTGACATATTCTTTTTCTTCTCAGGTATCTGAACGTATCAATTTTCTATTTATCTATCTACTATAAATTGAGCCTCTCCCTCTCAAGTGCATTCTTTATAAGGAAATTTAAACATACTTCATTGATTCTTATTTTTTTTATCAAACTTGCTTTACTCTCAAATTCGCCTTTCTCTATTCTCATATCTACTACAAAGGCAACAGTTGTCCAGTGTACTAAAAAGGTTCCCCACCTCATTATCACTCTGTAGTCCTCTTGATGGTATTTCTCAACAAAAGCACTGCTTGATAAAGTCACAATTTTACTAAAGCCAATAGAGTGTTTCACTCCCTTGCTATCTAGTAACCCTTAACCCTGTTCACTGCACTCTCTTTTGTGCATTTCTCCCCCCTTTGGCTCCATGACGCCACTGTATTCTAACTGCCTTCTGTTTTCATAACAAATGTTAATTTTGTCTTTGGAAGCTTACCCTCTTCTACCATCATTAGGTACTGGGGTTCAAGACCCGGTACCTTATCAGTTGTCTTCTACCCCACTGTATTATTTTCTTTCAACAGTCATCTTATCAATGCTAATAGCTTGAATTACAATATGTATCTATGACTCTGATATGCACATATGTAATTCAGGCATTTCTTCTGAACTCCACAGCTACACTAACATCTGCCTACTGGATGTCGCTACTTGCATGCTACAAAAGCTTCTTCAACATCAAAAGTTAAGATTTCATGTTTGATCTTCTCCCTCAAGCTGGTATTATATCCGTGTTTCCTCTTTGCTATGGTCTGAAATAAATATATCTCTGTTGCTTATACACTGCTCAGTTTATGATATTTTGTTACAACAGCCTGAATGGACTAAGATATGTGCTCTTTTTTTGCCATATTGAGTCATGCATGCTACATCTCCTTAACATAGCTGGTTCTTGCAGTCTCCACAACCGGCATCCCCATTTGTGTTGCTATTAAATGTGACCAAGACTATTGCCAATAATGCCTTATTTGGCTTCTGGGCAATTTTTCTAGAAGCCTCCAATCTATTTTATGCACTACTAGCAAAATTATTATTTCTAAAAACATAGGATTATATTTTCCTCACTTTTAAAATCACTCAGGGGCTTTTCTATTTTTGATTGGCTAAAGACCAGAATTTTAATATAGTCCTGTAGGATTTGGCCTCGAGAGACCTCTTAACTTTGTACTCTACTTTGTCAAGTACTTTTTCTAGAAATAAATCTTCCTTCAAATTCCATAGGAAGCCCAGAGTCACACTTGAGTCTCATTTCTCCTCGAACACAGTAAAATTCTTCATTGACTCTTATCCTCTTATCCATTGTAAGATTTCTATTTGGAGAACTTGGCCTGTTAATCTAGTCCACGTTGGCCACTTGGGTCAAATTTGTACCTTTTCCTTTAAATCAGTCTGACCCAAATACTTATTAAATATTCTCTAACTCATAAATGTAAGGTAGTATTATTCACCCCAATCACTGTCAAATTCATCCTTTAGACTAAGTCTCTCTGGTCTTAAACCGTCTTGATTCAATTTGTCTCTAAGAAAGACTGCCCCCTTTTACCTACAGGTTCATAAAACTCCTGACTCGAGGTACCAGCATGGCATCACATCTGAGAGATATCTTCTAAGGCCTATGTTGTAGAAAACTTTGTACTAGGTGCAGAATTTACATTGTTCTTGCTTGTACATGTGTTATAATTATGCTCTACTGCCATCTCCAAGCCAGTGCAAAACAAGACACCAAGGTAATTGATTCAGTTTGGAAGTAAATAATTTTCATTTAAAAGTAAGCTTCGCAATACTTTTAGATATATTAGTTTCTGAAAAAAATGTGAAATTCTATGTTTTATAACACTCAAATGGCTCCTTTTTTTCTGCCACAAAATATATACTAAGTTCTTACTATGTGTCAGACTTGGTATCAACTCCATAAATAAGAGAGATGAGAAAACATGGGTCCACCTTACCAAAGTGTTTTATGTAGTGATGCATCCATTTGGAAAAATAAAATGTTGTAGACACAGAACTGAGGCTGGGCTCACACTGGGACTTTTTTTTTTCTTCTTCTTCAAGATAATCGAAAAAACACCTTTTCAATGAATTAAGAATAAATCAGTTTCTAGACTAGAGGCACTGCCAAGTAAATTGGTTATCTCCACACAATGAAGCCTTTGTGGAGTCAATACCATGGTAACCGTCTACTTGCTGCGATGTCTGTTAAGATTTTAAGGAAAGCCTGGACACCAGTTGGCATGTAGTTCTAATAATTCAGATCAATTCAGGCAACGGGATGTGAAATCCTACAGAGAGGTCTTTCCTCGTTCAGTTTTTTTGTTTGTCTGATTTTTATAAACGTGGAAAGGGATTGCACAAAGTACTTGAACTTCCTTTTTACGTAAGGATCCCATGGAGAGTGATTACATCCCTTTTTTGATTTACAGACTTCTGAAAAGGCATTTCAAATTTTGGTAGGGCATTTCTGAGTATTTCGACTAGGGAAATAATCTCTTCATCGGCACATATGTTAATTTGTTACATTTCCTTTAGTAAATGGAATAAAACAAAATATCAATAACTTGCACTGCTCTCAATTGTTGGGAGTTTTTGTTTGTTTGTTTTGCCCTTTCATCATTATGACATCTTGATTCCCTGGGAAATAAGTGCACCCTAAATCCCATTCTTACATGATTCAGACTCTGAGGTATTCTTGACTTACCTGAGTTTTACATTTTTTATCCTGTTGCTTCCACTTGAGCTCTTTGCTTTTACTGTATCTCTGATTTCCTTTCTAAAACATGTTCCATCCCCAAGTAATGTACAGTCAGTCTATACGGCAACATCTAACATTCAACACCACCCCTTACAGTTCTGGGAGCTGTCAGCTGCTGGCATTGTTTTCCCTCCAATATTCTTCCAATAGACAATCCCATCTCTCTATGCCAGCAGAGAGGATGAAAGAGTGAAGAGGGAGCAGAGGCAGGGTTTCAAAGGCTTCTCACGCACTCTCACTGAGTGCCAATGGCCTACATTCAATGCTCAGGCTCAGTGACATTTCCACTGCACGATGAACACAGCCTCCTTCCTGGATCCTACTCAGACCCTGGTTTCCAAATAACAATTGCACACTTACTTTCTTATCAAACAGCTATTGCTTCATCGCTTTCTATGATTTGTTCTGTAGTTCTCATGTTTTTCACTGCTATCGAATGTTCATCAGATATTTTTGTTAAGCTGCATGGTAAATTAACAGATTCCTGTGATTTAAATCTATACATGTTTACAAGTTGGGTGCTATCTCCTCTTCTCAGTACCTTGCAGGAGGTATTTTCTATCATACTTTGTAATACCTGAGGCTGAGTATTTAATCACCAACTAACTAAAGATATACAGTTATAATTCAGGTTCCTTTTTAAGAACCCTCAAGAAAAACACTGAAGTGTAATTGTGAATATCACATGAAATCTGCAATTCCATATATGTGTTTCCCCGTCTTCATAAAATCATTCATTTCTTTTTCTTTTTCCAGCTCTTTCTTGTTTATTGTTGGGTAGCAAAACAAATTCTTTAATACTCTGTATAAACATCTCACAAACTCCTATTCATAGGTTATGAAAAAAAAAATCAAAGACACTTTGGCATTCAAGTTACTGTAATAGAAGCTAGAACTGCTATACCTTATATTCTGGAAGGTCCTTCAACAAAGCCATGTTCAGGATTGTTTAAAAACTTCTATCACTTAAAAATATCTATCTTTGGGGGGCAGCAGGTGCCTTGGTGGTTAAGGCATTGGATTCCCACATGGTTGATCGTGGTTCCAGTCCCAGACCCAGCAGCCTGGAAATCACACTGGGCACTTGTGTATGTGTGTCCAAAATCTCAGAAGAATGAATAAAGGGTTGGGGTGTGGCCATCCCCCATGAGGTAGGTGATTTCTCATACTCCCTCTCACTGCCTCTGTCTCCTGATGAGTCTTATGGCAAAAACCTTAAAAAATTAAAACAAAGATCTTTCCTTCCAAAGCCTTTGAATGATTGGTTTTGGATTAAAAAGGGTGGGGAGTATTCTAAGGAATTCAACAAGAAAAGGAAATAGGTACCTTTTATGAAAAGGACTTTCAAGCTCCCTGAGCCTACAACTTAACTGAAATAACTTTATGTGTCTTCACTTTACATGTCTTCACATAAAACATTTACCACCTTTCACCCAGCGACCAGATGGATGGGATCTGGTACACTGAGTGTCACTTAAAACGTTCTTATCAGAAATGGTGATAACCACTCATTATGCCCTTCAATCAAATCCACACCCCTTCCAGGCTGCATGTTGCAGAATTAACTGCAGGAGAAACAATTAAGGTCCTGCCCCACAGCCATGAGCAGCCCGGGTGCTCCCCAGAAGCCCCCAAGCAGAGATGAGAAGGCTCCGCTGGGAATGTTGGCCTTGGCAGCAGGGTACCGAGAAGGGATGGTTCCGAGCGGGTGCCATCATTGAGGTTCCAGATTCTTGTGTAGCAGTCTTGACCCACTGCCACCAGGATTCTTTCCTCCTCATGAACATGCAGGGGCAAGTAGGTGTACTCATTCACGTGCCCTTCAAACAATGTCAGACACTTAGAAGTCCTCAAGTCCCACACCTTGATCAGGAGAGCAAACTATTGGGCCAAGACATCCCTGTTGGTTGCATATGACTGCCAGTGTCCTGTCACCACATTGGTCAATATGACCCTCCGAGACAAGTCCATACTGAAGCAGTGATTTGCTTACATGTTCAGCGACCATGCACAGGACCAGACACCAGGGATTTGGAAACTGCAAAGCATGCCAGGTCTGTCTATTGCTGGGAGACTATTGGCAAATAGCAACACTGGGAAGACAGTGGTACATCCTGGAGTCTCCGCAACTCTCATAAGGCACAACAGGATATGGGAATCCAAGTGACTTAGTGAGGCCCAGTACACAGAATTTACCTTCCAGTTGGTGAAGTAGAGGTTTTTGAACATCCACACCTTAGGCAAGTGGGTCTTCAGGTAACGCAGGCTGATGATGCCATACTCAGATCCTCTCACTTTGACAACGTTCACTGTGAAGAGCTGGTCATTGTTGGTATCCACCAGTATGAGGTTAAATCAGTCACTTGCCAAAGCGGGAGGACCTGAGCTCTGAATCTGGACCATCTGTCTCTGCAAGTAGCTTCTGGGCTAAACTGTAGTAACTGGTGGTGTTGAGAAAACCCAACTGGCTCTTTTGCAGCAAAGAAGATGCATTCGATCCTTATTCTGGCTACTTTCTTTTTATGCTTGTCCGCGTGCTTCAGTAACTTCAGTCATTTGCTCTCCATCTCCTTCTGCCTGATGCTCTCCCTTGTCAGAGGGATGCAGTTGTTATGTCCAGGGAGCAGGTGGAAGTAGTGCTTCCCTTCAGGGTCAAAGTAATACCCTGGCACATCTGGTACAGAAGAACTCCCAGCTTGGCTGGACGATGTCGATTAGGCCTCATCATCAGTCTATTCAGAGGCCTGTGGGCTCTATGCTACCCCTGGGTTGCACCTCTCATCAGAATTATGTTGTCTGAACCTGGGGTTCTGCTGATGGCTTCTTCTCCCATGCCTTCTACTCTGCCAGCTTCTTTTATTCTTTTCCATTTCTGGTGAGAGGATCTTTCCTGGCTCTCCCTTGGGCCCAGCTCCACAGGAGTAGGCAAAATCATTCATTTCTACTAATTCTTTTCTCCCCTACTTTAAAAATTCTCATAAAACATTGTTAATGAACTGATATATATTACGTTGGCCTAACAGGTCTCTATACCTTCAGAATCAGCCCACTAATGGATTCTTTATTATTTATATTACTCTCCTCCTGCACTTCACTCCAAACTTAAACATACTTCTATAATGTCACCAAAGACCCTATTTCATAAATACAGTCTAACTTTATCTGACTTAAAATCCCCTTTTATGTAATATGAAAATTATGACTTCTTATTCTCTATTTTTTTCCTCCTATAATTATTGATGAATACTCTGCTCTATATTCTTCAAGTGTATTTAAAGACCTAATCTTTGTTATTAAGTCATTTATGATTAGCAGTGAAGCAACAATTTTACCTCCATTACAAATGTACTCATCACAAGCCCATAAAACTAAAATTTGTAAAGTTCTATAACACAAGGAAATCATGTCCTTGACTTTTCTTTTTTATTTTCAAAGAATTTATTACTAAACCAAGATCATTTTTTAAAAAGACCTACCATTTTTTGAAAGTTTCAAAATATCAAAAGGCATAGTGCATATATTTCAAATCTTCGGAAGGTCAAGTTTTTTTTTTTCAAGATTGGATTATACAAACTGGCTCAACCTTATCCAGTTGAATTTCTCATAAAGAAGATGAAAATTAAATCAATCGCACCCCCTTACGAGTAATATTGCAATATGTACATGTGTATTTAGAGTATGTGTGTACAAATATTTTATGTAAATTAAAAAGCAAAAGCATAAGATAGCATCCCACATAATTAGAGAAACGTTTGCAGTTAAAAAAGTTATCAATTTTGGGGATCAGCAGTTGGCATAATGGCTATGTCACTAGAATACCATGTAGTTGGCCATGGTTTGAGTCCCGGACCCGATGGCTTAAACTTACACCAGGAGTGTGTGTGTGTGTGCTCAGGATCCCAAGAGAAGAATGAAGGAGAAGGGATTATGTTGTGGCCATCCCCACTAGAGGGGTGATTTCTCGCTTTCTTTCTCTCTGTCTATCTCTGTCTTTCTGGCGAGTGCACGCATCCTATAGCAAAACCTCTCAAAAAAAAAAAGTTATCAGTTTTGAATTGTATATTGTTCGATGGAACTTGTACTATATGATAACTGTGTTTATTTTGTAAAAGAAAAAATCCTTTTTTTAAATAGATTTGTTGTCAAAGGGCACATGCACTCGCCAGAGAGAGAGTGAGACAGAGAAGGAAAGTGAGAAATCAACCCCTACCCCCATAGGAGATGGCCATGCCAAAATTCCTTCTCCTAGGTTTTTCTCTTGAAATTTTGGGCACATATACACACATGCCCAGCATGTTTTCCAGGCTGCCAGGTCCAGAGCTCAAACCATGTAGTTAGCCATGTGAGATCTAACACTTTAAACACCATACCACCTGCTGGTTCTCAAAACATCCTCTTACTTAGGCATTGATTGTGACCTGTTAATTTTCTGTGCAGTCACTGACATATGAAGAATTATACTAAGATGGCACGTTTATATGAACTTTAACTCAGTCACTTTAAATGAAACCATCGTTCCCAAATGTATAAACTTTCAAAGTAGAAATCTTCCAAGCTCCCAGACTTCACTCTTTTGATTAGTAAGCTAGGGTTATGAATGATCAGTTTATATATTTAACCATCCTTGCATGTAGGATTTCATAAAATCTTATGAGACTCACCCTGAGAAGCCTCAAAGTAAAGTGCTAAAGCCTGTGAAATATGTTAGCTCTTACAAGATCCCAGGGCTTTAGTTCTAAACCAGGTAATTTCACAAACTTATTTTTTAAATGCCTTTTAATTAGTTAGAAAGCACATGTTGATATTAACAGAAACAAGACTATAATTCTTTTTTGGTATTTATATCTGGAAGAAATGTTTTTGAAAAGACGGTACAATTTTAAAATTTTGTGATTGTTTTTAAAGAATGACTTATTGGGAACCAGCAGTTAGCGTAATGGCTATGTCGCTGGACTCCCACGTAGTCGACCGCGGTTCGCGTCCCAGACCCGGTGGCTTAAAACTCATGCCGGGCGTGTGTGCGTGCGTGCCCAAGATCCCGAGAGGAGAATGGAGGAGAAGGGATTGCGGCGTGACCATCCCCCCTGGGGGGTGATTTCTCGCTTTCTGTCTCTATGTCTCTCTCTGTCTGTCTGGCAAGCGCACGCGCCCTATAGCGAAAAAATCTCTCCAAAAAAAAAAAAAAAGAATAACTTATTTAATTTTATTTATTATCACTCTTCTTATTTAATTTGCTATAGGACACGTTTGCTTTCCAGAGAGAGAAAGAAAGAGAGGGAATGTGAGAAAGCAAACTGTCAAGGTCTTAGAAAGTGAGAAGACATTGAGCAGCCTGGTGACTTGGTGGCTAAAGCAGCCAGATCTCACATGACTAACCATGAGATTCAAGGCCTAGACATTGTGACTTGAGAAACATACCAGGTACATATACTTGCGTGCTCAAAATCCCAAAAGGAGGGAGAAATGGAGAAGAGATTGCTGTATGACCATGTCCCATGGGCATGGCTTTCTTCTCTCCCTCCTCTCTTTAACTCTCTTTGGTGAGCACATGCACTCTCCAACAACAGCAACAAAGTAGTATTTTTATTCTATGTTGGTATGTGAATACTCTCCTAATCCTCCATACCGCCACCAATTCCTACTCATCTTCTTTTTTTTTGGAGAGGTTTTCACTATAGGGCGCGTGCACTCGCCATACAGACAGAGACATAGAGACAGAAAGCGAGAAACCACCCCCCAGGGGGGATGGTCACGCCGCAATCCCTT